GTTATTGACCAATTAATTAATTGGGACGAATTATTTTTTATATTGCTTTTGTAAAATTATTACTATTTGTTCGAAAAAATTAGATTCAATGAAAAGCGTTGACAAAAACAGATATATCATATCGTTTGGTTCTTTCCTTCCAAAGCTTACTCAAACTTTGCTTTTCCTAAGAAAGTTACATCACCGATAACGTACATTTTTCTTATCTCCATCTTTCAATTTATGGAAGTAATATAGCGAGGCCATGAACTACAGCAAAAAGAAATTAATTGACGGTAAAGATTGATAACGCAAGCTTTCCTTTTCCTCTGTTTATATTGCTTCAACAACTTCACCTATTTCTTCCGTGACTTACATAATAGATGAATAATATTTAAAAACCTGATTTTACAATTTCGCTGCGTCCCCTCCAGCAATACTTCCTTAATCATTTATAAAATGAAACGCTTTGAAACCGATTTATATTTTATATTATAATTCTCTCCGCTTACTTTCTTACTTCACGCAGAAAAGCCCAGATACTATCACAGTTCCTCTTCCACGATGAAGTAACTTAAAATTAGTCTTTTACTTCCGTTTCCCCTGTAGACATTACGATCCTAGCAGAACGCTACTAATCATGGAGGCTACCAAAATTTAATAATATTCAATTTCAGTAAAAAGAATCCTTAAAACCACAGTGTACAGTTTTAAAGCTGATATTAAAACGAAATTTAAAAACTATGCAACCACTACTGTGTGAACTATCCAAACAAAAAGTAGATAGTAGCAAAGGTAATAGAACAACATTTTTTAAATGTAGAATGATCATAGTAGATTTTGGCAGCACCCATTTTGTTAACTATATCGAACATCTCTCCATGCTAGATACAGGTAACACCGTTTAAGCTCAAATATCAAGGTCTAGTTTCAAGACAATTCAAATCAATTGGTTGGCCGGAGAGCTACAAGCCTGCACGATCGGTTTCCCCCGAAATCCATTAAGGTCCCGGCGACTCTACGTTTATAAAGCAGCAATCAAATACATTTGTCAGTCATTACAATGCATTTGATTTGAAACATGGCGTACGAACAATTGCGAAGCAGTATCTGCGAACTGGAGATCGACGACAATTAAAAAATGATTCGCTTGAACGGAAACGGAAATCTATTGCGATTTGCGTATACTCGTTATATATGTATATATACGATGCCAATTAAACTCTTAAATAGAAACTAAGTGGACGTACATATAATAAGTATGCGTGTACTTAAAATCTAAGCGTAAATAGACGGATAAACACAATAGTGCGACTAGTACTGAAAGCGCGTAAATACTAATGCTAATACATACGTACATACAATATTATGTCAGATACGTATTCGTACGTATGTACATACGTACGTAAAATGTAACACGTAGCTTGGAAGCTCACGGCTGGAAAAGTTCACTTAAACATAATAATAAAATTTCGTTTCGTTTCGTACATAACATTTAGGCCTTACGTAGGAATCTGCATCGTCAGGTAAATTGAATTTAAAGAGTTTCGCCACGTAGTAGAATTCACGGTTCGCATGTTGTAATATATATTAATTTATATTTAAATACTTTGAATAGGTGTATATCTATATTCGAGAATCTGCATATATTTATATTATGTATATAATAATAGTTACTCTCTATATTTGATAGAATTTTTAAAAACGTGCTTCTACGCAACAAGTGATTCTTCTCATCGATTAAATTGATCTGAGGTCCTGCTATCATTACAAATCTGCCACTAGTCATTTATTCTCTATTTTCACATCGATATCGTATGCTTCAATAAATAAATATTTTCGAAAAGAAAATTCATACATTTCTTACAACTTCAGAATGAAACAGTTGCGTCTCATAAAATATCGAATAAATAGAATAAATAAATAAAGTTTTAATTCGGAATATTAATTACGGTGACTCGTGCAAATTATAGATTATCATGCGCGCACGATGAGTTAGAATTTGAAGATTTTGCTATCAACAATACGCCTTGTGTACCGACACGTTATTTTACGTCCTACGTTCCTACTCGTTTAGATTTATGCTCGAATCCAATCGTTTACCTCTAATATACAGTTCTGATACGCTACCCTGTGCTTTAAAATCTATAAAGAAGTTCAAATGCGAGAAAGTTACATTCAACATTTCGAACGAAGCGTAATGATATCGCCGAATTTTTTGTCAAACGTATTTTCTCAAGTATTTGAAAATGTTTACGTCGGAATTTGAAAAAGGCAGTAGAAGTCATGATGGTCTGTTACGCAGGCAATCGGAATATTAATCCAACAAAAATTCTAATATTTTAAAAGAAACAGGCAATTCATTAAACGATTAGAAATTAAGTGATTTAATTTAAGCTCGAATAAAGGTGTAAGAAAATATTTGCTATTTACTTATCTTCTAAGTTTTAGAGAAATATTCCTTACCTGCCTGCGTTAATCAAATATACAATTGAACACATTGGTATTTCAATTAGCGTCAAGTAATTGTACAATTTTCCATATATTTGGTACGTATATCACGATCCAAAAGTTTAATCGGACTTAATAAACAGACTACGATAAAACTAAAAAGAAATATGTATAGTTATCAGGTTTACGACGAGATATTATAAAAATAAGGGAACAATTTTAAGTGAAAGTAGGAACAATGCACACTCACAACCATCCAGGATAATGTTTACTATTTGAAGATATCTAAAGATAATCTCCCTAGTAATAAACTACACACAAAGTCTATAGGGAGTCACGTTTATATACTTACAGATATTGCGTTAAAGTAAAATAAAATCTGAAGCTTTAACAAATTTTAAACATATCATAACAACAATAAAATCGATTCATATAATTAATCTTGTCTAAGGATTGGTTATTATTAAAGATATATATTGCACTATAACAAAAGACCCTAAGAACGTATCATCCCGTAAAAGAAATAATTCTAATAATAAAAGATTGAATTTGTAGTCTTTGAAGTTCGATTAAACTTTTGGAAAATCTATTTCATCAAATTCGAGTTCTATGGATGTTCCTCTTTTATAACATCATTGGACAGATTTGTTTGAAACGATAATATACTCTGATAACCGTGTAATATTTGTTAATTAATTCTGTATTAACGATGATTTGATTTAGGTAAATACTGCCAAATGTATTTTCTGCCTTTGATCTCAGGTATCGTATTCTACATTTAAATTGATTTGCTTACTACGCTGAGGCTTCATTTAAAGCTTTCCGTCGTCTTCTTATATGTATATGTGTATGTGTGTATGTGTGTGTGTGTGTGTGTACTCAACTTGAAATCCTATCCACTAATTTTTGATATTTAAGAGCCTCGTTACACTGACATCTAAGTTACTATTCCAAATGTCTGAATTTTATGACACTCGTTTCGCGTCGCGTGCACAAGATTGTAACATGCTCCAATGGGCATATGCACACGCGATTTAGAAATGCGAAAAACAAATGGCACCAGTCTTAGGAATAATCAATTGATCTCTGTTGCATATTACTTTCGCGATATTACAGTTAAATAAATATAAGATAATAATAGACGGTACATGAAAAGTACAGTGTATATGAATAATTCTATAAAATCATATATTAATATTCTATATATAATCACATCGAGTTGATGTTTAGTATACGTTAGCAAAGAATAAGTATAGCAAACGTGGAATTATTTAACGACTTTGAAAAATTACGTTTCGAAATAGGAATCGTAAAAAATGTATTCGAAAGTTGTGTCAAAATAAAATCTTTAAAAATGAATAAGCACTTTTTCTCAGTCAAATGCATTTGTTGAGCGATTTCGAGTTTTGGAAGCATGTAATCGTAGCCTATCGAATTTTTTTCCTACTACTAAGAACGTCATTCGTACTAATTGTTATATACTTAATTAATTAAAATGCACTTGGTGCATCGTACTTTTTGACTATCGTACGTTTCGATTACGATCATATTTCCGCCTAATCGTAATGTAAATGACTGATCCCCGTCGCATTAAATGCAACGTGAAATACAAGAGGAAAAGTGAAATCAACTTATCCTATCTATTAAGTAATTATATTATGCAATCTGTGCGCTTCGGTTATCGCGAGTGCGCTAATTCATTTAAACTACGATTATTTTCAATTAATGAAAAACAGTTGGTCCACCTTGTATAGAAAAATCTACACAAAATAAAGAAACGCAGAGTAACGAATGATCGCATAAAATGCTATGCGCAGTGAGACGAGAAATAAAATCAGAATGTTATTAAACATTAGTCGGCGGATCCATAGCGCAAATAATGGATTTCATTACGCTTGCAGCAGCTAAAGACGCATAAGGCTGCCATTCCTTTATACGTGAACCATCTTTGTAATCAGAAATACCTCGTATTACGGCGAAACTTTCACGGCAATTGCCCAAAATGCTTTCGACCACGGCATCCATCTCTGCATCGAATGCTAGGGCCCCGAAACGAGCTGCAAACTTTTGTCTAAGCTGATCATCGCGTGCAATATATCGCCCAGATGCCACGGGCGCTAAGTGGATTCGTGGACAGCCAGTAATCCTAAAACATAAAGTGCAACACTCCTTTGTTTGACTGTTTGGAGAGTTCTTCCTGTAGCAGATATAAACATGAAATCCGCTGTACATATGTTACGATCCTAACTGAACCCATGAAGGGCATTCGAATATTTTTGACTACGTCTACTTGCGAATAATCTGCTTACGCGTCTGGTAATATATCATTGAGTTTACGACCGAAAAATTTTAGTGATAATAATAAAATTTCAGTAACAAGGGTATGACCTAAAATTTAGAGTATATTGTTGAATTTTAGAAATATGAATGGTTACTGACCTTTTATATGCTGCGTCTGAAGGTGCAATAGGATGTGCAACTTCAATAACATCTCTCTCGCCAATAGCCATATATAACTTGTCAGACTCCGGTGGTGGAGACTTAAAATCGTGTTCTGTTTGATCACTCAGCATCTCTAAACCGTCTTTCAGGTACGTTTGCCACGGAGGGTTCGCTTCATTCTCCGACTAAAAACAATTAAGCGTTCAATAATTATTCGAGGCTCAATAATTGTTCATAAATTGCAACAATAATTTTTAAATCGGTAAATAAGTTACCTGATCTTTGAGATTAGCCGCGATTTCTTGAAGACATAAATTTGGTGGACAATATTCTTTGGTTTCGAAATGATAATCGCCACTTTCGCTCGATTTTGCACTTTCACAGTACACGTAAATGTATTTCTTGTTATTTGGAACGGGATGAGAGATGACAACATCGCCAAGGCGTACGTGTTTGTTGTAATCCGTATAATGCGGCACACCTCCTCCGATTCCGATTAAGAAAACGAAATCAACTTTTTGAAATGTTCCTAAAACACATAAAATAAATAAACGTTATCACAATCCCATACGAATGATCTAGTTTTGATTGCAATAGCAAATTAAGTTGATCATCTAATAGTTACCTAGCAATCTGGTAGTCGTATTTCCTGCGGCAGTCATCGCTTCTCTTGTATGACCCACAGTTGGCAATTTCGTGCATACAATTCTATGCGCACCAATATTGCCCAATGTATATACATTTGACTCACCTATAACAAAATAAATCTTGTTGTTAAATTGAAAATTTGGCGATTTTCTAAACCGTGAAATTTGTGTATGATACATTTGCATTGTGCTATTATTATTGGAAGACTGGTATCGAACCCGTGTATTATATGCGGAATTGATTAAAAACAATTCATTCCAAGTGCAATTGTGTTCTGTACTGATTGTTATCAAGTATGGTAAATAAATTTATTCATTGATCAAAATACAGAAAGATATTCTTTCATAGTAAATCATTTTAACGTGTATATCTACGTGATTGAAAATCTATATAATGCAAGTATATTGCACATAGTGTTGCGTATTTAATAATAAATTAATTAACTCAGACATAAATATAAAAAAAAATGAATCCTTTTTTGAAATAAAAAGAATTATTATGAACAATTAATACCAGTCTTAAACAAAAAGACGAAACAAAATAATATTATAACAATACATTTCGTACAAACAAAGAATAACACATAAACGAAAAAAAGACGAACAACGTTGTGATGATATAGCACCATGCCCATTTAATATATTATGTGTGTGCGATGAAATTTATTGCTGAAAGAGTAAATGTTTAAAGGATGGAACGGCACGATGATAATATTTCGTATGTGAAATCCATGACAACATGACAACGCATCTCTTTAGCTATAGAAAAAACGATACTTTCGTAAGAACATCAATTAATATAAATCGTCCGCAGCACTGTGATTCTGCGATGATTCTTGTATACAAGCAATTGGCAAGCTAGAACGTTAAACGACACTGAAACGAAGAAAGAAACTATATTACAAACTACTTTACCAAAATGACATGAGACTCGCGGTACTCCGTTTGGTGCATCGGGTGAGGTTGCCGTACCTAAAGTTTTATGCGTAGTAAAATATATTCATATGCGCAGTCTTGTACTTTTGTCATTGATTGATTGACAATAGTAAAAATCCGTACCAAGTTTCGAATGAATTTTTAGAAATAAAAATATAAGAGGTCTTATTTTATTACGATGTGTAGGAAACTGATAATCTATGTATTTAAAATATATTTGCGAGTTTTTATTGCGAGAGATTTGCAATTTATTTGTAGTATTTTGTTTAACTTCCATACTTGTACAGTGAATTATAGGAGAAACGGTTTTTCGATAAAAAGTGAAATATATCTTACCAACTGTAGTGTAGCGTACAAACGTTTCCTTGTTTTCGATCATCGAATCGACAGCCAACTTTTCGCAATACTGCGCTGTAATAATTGCAATAGTAGGTTGCTTCGCCACTTTTGGCATCTGTTTCACGATCTAAAAATAGATGAAACAACTTATTACATGAATGGCTATTACAAATTATTCATTCTAAAAATATGTGGAAATGAAATTTACTTGGACTTGTGTGTCTTGATGTACAACTCTGGTGAATGCTCCATGTTCCATTGCTTTAACAACACCTTTCTCTTGTAACTCTTTCAATTTTTCTTCAACTGCGACAGGGTCCCAGCCATGCTGCCTGTAACAATTGCCATTATATTTACACGCAGTTCGTACAATATAGATTATAAAAACTATACAGCAAAATCTTACTTTGCTATATCAGTTATCGTTACTGGATTCGGATAAGCAGATTCGATGAGCTCCAGCACTTTCTCCAATGTCAATTCAACCACTTGGCCAATAACTGTTTCATCTGTGGACACTGTTCAATAAAAAATTAAATTTTACTACATTCCGCGCACGTTATATAATTCTATAAAATGTAGCTGCTGAATGAGATGTATGATTTATGAGTGATTTTTTTTGATAAATGTAATTTTTTAACAACTACAGCCCGTCTATGTACGCATTTCACCAGCGCGATCACTTTTACAGTCAATAATATCATTCTTATTAAACTGTAACGAGATACAAAGACGGGAAACTTATCAATTTATAAATCTCAAAATCGTTTAAAGAACAAGATATCAATTTTCGATACATTTAAAACTTCTTTTATTTTCACGAGATCCATAAAAGTAATTTGTATTGAGCAGAAAAAGTGATCCGACTGTTGCGGAACAAATCGTATGCTAAATATGTGTCTATCATATCATATATAGTCATGTGATGAAAATCTACTTGAAACATGTAGTAAGAATGTAATTGAAACTTCTAATTGCCTCTTATGGAGCTACTGGCACAGAAATTAAAGATCTTATATGGTAGTAGGTGACCATGAGTAGAAGGTGAACAGTTTGTATGGATATGCTATACTAAATAGCAGTATTGCAATAAAAAGTTTCATTGCACACTTTACACTGAATGTATGCTTATATTATTGTATTATTTTCGTGTGTGTAATAACATCACTTTTGGTAAACGTAATTAGTGCTACAAATGTTCAAACTTTGAATAGAACATTCCTAATCATGCATTTAAATTACGAACATGATACGATCCATGAGTGAAATGTACATGTAATTGAGATGAACAGTTAGATAAGAAAAGTCTCTTTTTCGTTAATCGATGCATAATTCATAGAGAAAAATGTTTTATTGGAAAAATTATTATTTGAAATGTTGCTAAAATAGACAGTCAGTAAAACAAATTAATGTCGAATTGATGAAAAAACTAAGGAGCACGTTGTGTTAAGCCAATGTTGTTATGGCAACTACTTTATTGCGTGAAGCAATAGAACAGATATCTACCGGTCAACATTAAAATAGAATTTTTCTCGTTTACTCCTTTCGCAAATCGTGTAAAATGGATGTGAATTAATTCATCGAAATTTTAAGACGCTAACTAAAACAAATTTTCAAATGTAGGACGTTCTCAATAAACTGTTAACCGGCAAATATTCAATTGTATTATGTATTCATGTAGTAGCCTGCATATAAAAAAAATCAACATAAACAAATTGCAATAAAATATGCAATTCTTTCATTATTTCCAACCTGATTCCCAACTAACTTTCTTACATGGAAGTGTGAACAGTATGTGACCAGTGTCAGCTGTGAATAACAAAGATTACAAATGATTTATTTTATATGAAACAAATATGTAACGCGCGCAGGAAAACTGTGCACAAGTAACATGGGCTACACAAATGTTAACTGTGCATTTCCTTCAGTTTCAGTTGTAATATACACTTGAGACACACTGCTCCAATATCTTTCAATGAAGCCCATTTAGTTCAATGAATCTAATCAAATAAATCTTGGTACTCCTCTTTGAGAGTTATTTCATTAACATAAACTGTACCGTGAGACAATTAGATAAATAATTTCAACGAAGTAAATGAATCAGTACATTTATGTTTAAACATGATTTTCGGATGTTAGAAATCATATAAAAATTGTTTACATATTATTATTTTATGTAATTCACTTACATGGTCTAGCTGGAAGATTAACTGGCTCTTCAAGTTGTTTCAATTCAACTTCTATCTTCTTAATAGTACAATATTTATGCAACATCAGCTTCATTATTTTTTTTATAAAGCCCACGTAATCTGTAACACAAGAATACAGTTTGCTGACATAATTATACTGTTCATAATGTACATAACTAATCAATAATTTATAATTAAATCTGATGATTTATTTATAGAATATAAGTATTACAATCGATTATAAATAACAACTATCTGAGAAAAATTTAGATCACGTAATAAATCAATAATTTATAATAGAATTTAATACTTTAAGTTTAGCTAGAAGGTAAATGTACGCATCAATAAAGATTAAAGTGAATTTTACCTCTTGGAAATTCCTGAGGACTGACTAATTCCCTAAAGAATTCCTGTGCTACACTTGGATGTTCAGTCTCTGAAAGTCTGTCTATAAACCAAAACTGCAGAGTTCTGGATTCTTGGGTATGCTTTCCAGTTTGAGCACTCACCAAAAATACTCTGAATTGTAAGCAAAGATGGGCAGGCTGAATTTCACCATTTGTAGCTATAAAAATTTTATTTCATCATATTTCTTTATGTCAATATTACTACAAACTGTTGATTAATTGTGAAATAACTATAGAGTACCAGCAACTGCTTGTTTGTTAATAACTATTCCTTTGTGATCACCTCCAGCAATATGAACATTGTTTTCATTTCCATTCTCTGCTGGTGGTTCTAATGCTTGCCTCTCTATTATAAGAGTTGTGGAATTTGCAGTCTTGCATTTTGGAGTCATTACAATGTGTTCTAATTAATCAAATATAAAAATAGATATTAAACTTGACTAAAAAATATTAATACAAGAAAAAATGAGTATTATACAATGAACTATATTTCAGTTGATTACAGTAGATGTGTCTTTTGCTGATTGCATACAGAATATAATACAATATGTCACTGAACAATTCCATTAAGTACATATATTTAAAAAAATTTTATTTACACTGACCTGTTTTTTTCTCATCCATATTAGACATTGTCTTTTATCTTCTGTGTAGATAATTAGATTAGAAACTTTCTTAAGTCGCACTAAGTCAGAGATAAATGACAAAAGAAACAGTAAGACACGAATTCAAGCTCTTTTGCTCAGCTAACGACGAACCAGACGAACTGTCGTCCGCTTACTGCTCGACTTTTTAACCGCCTTCTTTACTGTGTTACCGTCCCACCACAGGGATTGTGAGTCTCGCGCCTGTCAAAACGGGAACTCTGTATAACCTCCTTACTGCATCCAGTCAACATTCCCTCATGTTCATTTAATATATGTGATCTTTAATAGATAATGCATCGCGAAAAATAAACACGAGCTCATTAACACTGAAGGTAGACGATATTTACTAACAGAGTGAACGACTCGAACACTATCGTAACAATTATCGATCGAAATGGTGACACATGCCACCGCCCTATGCCATACTTATATTTAAGTGTGACGTATATGCATTTATTACGTCACCTCTGTTTTTTGAGTTTGAACGCATCATAACCATCCTAAATTGTGACGTCGACGCTCATGCAACTTACCGTTCACAAGTGCGCGTTTATTACGTACATTTTATTTATAAGGTTATAAAAAGTACAAAAATATGGAAACTATTCTAAAGGAAATCATTAGCGATAATCCATTCATAGGTTCCAATTTTTAATTCTAATTCCTATGTGTGTGGTACTTAGTCGAAAACAGTGGCAACTATATGTATAGACAGAAAGGAATTTCCTCTCTGGTATAGATGATGACAAATCCAAGAATCCTAAAGTACTTACTGGTAAATAAACATAAATAAAAATAAAAACATAAAGAAATAAGAAATTATGGCCTTAAGCTAATAAACATCCTAAACTAGAAACTTTCTATTTAAAATATTCAGCTGTGCGTTATCGTACTTCAACACTATGCTTAAACGAATTTTATGGCATGTTTTCATCGCATTGCACTGTTGGACGTGGACATTAACATGTTAATCTTATTTTAGAACATCATTGTCAATAATCCACTCATAAATTTCAATTTTTACTTTAATTCCTAATTGTACTCACACGAATTATACATATAGCATTTCAGTTTTTATCGTATTGTACTATTGGATATGGACATTAACGCATTAATCTTATTTTAGTAGACTATGAACTAGCGATAAATTATAACATGAACACATAACAGTATTTTCCTCTATAAATATGTACGACAACTCCCATAAACTATTCCCCTGCCATCGTACCCTACTAAACCATAAATATACATACATGCACTACAAATCCCGATGCATAAATAAATATGATCAACCAGGTCGCAATTAAAAATATAACATTAATTTTATGTGTAGGAAAAGGTGAATCTCCTTTTGGTATATAAAGCTTTCCAAATTCGTAGTTCCTTTAATAATATCCTATTATTTTATAAAAAAAAAAATGGAAAATGTGGATGCAAAGAAGCTGATGTAAGAGAGATAAGGGGGCTAAAGTATGCGGGCGAGTAGGCCCGAAAGGATGGATTTCAGATGCCCACCTCAGGTGTTTGGCCCCGAAAGCCTTTGTTTAGACCCGATGACGTGGATCTAGTTTTTCCAGCTTAATGAGAAAAGCTTACAACTCGGACTCGATATCGACAAAGGGCTGAGTGGGCCTAGGCACTGTTTAGTCAGCTTTATTGACATCGTATACCTTTTGCGATCTTTGCTGCGCTTGAAAATATAGATTGTTATTCAATGGACTGTTTAATTAGTGTATATCGTAGTTTCTTACACTGAGGATGAAGTCCAAATGATGTGCACAAATACACAATTTACGAATTTTCATTATCGCATTTATATACATGTACTGAATGCATGTAATTTAAAAACTTTCCCGTGAATGATGGTACGTGAAACTGATAAGGATATGAATGAGACGCATTGTATTCTATAAGCAATCTTGCCTTTAGTTTTCGGCAGTCTCGATGAGTTTGGAGAAGTTAAAGCAGTCGAACAATCATAAATTAATAAACGAGTTTTATTTCTGATTCTGCCGTACGTCTCATTGCTATCCAAGCTTAAATCGATTACACTGTAGATGTATGCATGTACACGCACACACGTATCGTTAAGTAAACAGATTCATATTACTTTCCGCTGCCTGAAGCACACATTAAGATCTACTGTGTCTAAAGCACGACTGACTAGTTTTATCTTGATACGTATAAAAATTAATAATTGTACGAAGTGTAAATGCATTCATTTCATTTCTTCTTTGTTCAGATCATTTCATTGTGCGGATATTGTATGAGAATGTGTAAAAGGGATTTCCAATATTAAGTTAAGACTCGGCAAATGAATGGGGAATTCCCCTAAATTATAAACTAGCTAGATACGAATTGAATAAAGTTCTTATCTCATGAAACTAACGAAGTAGGTAGTTTACCTTACTTCATACGCCGGCAAACCGACTATCTGATTTGTGGCACTGTCAGAGTAATGCCACGTACCGAGTTTGAGTCAGCAGTCAGTCACAGTCAGTATTATACCGCGCGTACGTACGTGTGTACATATACGTATGCTCCTGCAAAACAGATTACATTCGATCAGAGAACTTCACGAAGCGCATATCCGAAGCCATACAATTTCCATTACTGTGCCGAATCATACAAGTGTTTTTTTAATGCATTTCTTCTCGTAGTTTTTAAGTGTATTAAATTAACATCGTGTTAACAAGCACAGTGCATGTGATTGAACACGGAACAATTTTTCCTTCCCAAAACACAATGCAGTGTAAGTAAATTTTAGTTCCTGCAGGAATGAAAATACATGTGTTCACTGTTAAAAATAACTTCCTTTGTAACGTTTACCGTACTGTCACTTCTTTATACTGGTGAAGAACTTCTATAATGAGTTTTGTTTATATGTATACATTTTTATTTTTCTGTGATAGGGTATAAATGTATAAGTAAGAGTATGCGTAATATATAATTCCAAAAAGCGACGAGATAGTTTACGTATAGCATGGTTATCGCTCAGTCGGTGTATGTATGTAGTTATACGTAATAATATACGCGCATATCTTTATTGCGCTGATTGAAACATAATGAAAGGAGCTGCTTATGCAGTTCCCGGGGTTCTCGGTCAAACGTATCTGACGTATCGCATTCAAAAATTAGGTGTAATGAAAATTAGTTAAATGTTACATCATTTTCGAAGTATTTAAAAACGACACATTATTATTTACGCTTTTATTCGGATATTAACAATATCTCTTCTTTATCCTCTACGAACAAACACCTGCAGGTCTACAAGTGTAGCCAGCTTTAGCATTCTTTTAGCTAAGGTCGGTGCGATAAAGAAATGATAACATTGAGTATAATGTCGTACTGCAGACTGAAGCTAATAATGCGAGCTTCGGTCAATTATAGAAACTGACAAACGATAAAGTTATTTTCTAAATTTTACAAGGACTATAAGATACGATACGAAACGTTGACAATATTTTTTTAAACTACCTATAAGTATACTGATACGAAATTGTTATGGTCCCCACAGAGCGGGCGATGCGATGCGCTGCGCTGTGTTTCCATACTTTTCGGGCCTTCGGCCGGATCGACCACTGCTGTAAGCTGTATTCTACAGCATATATGTACTGAAAGCATGTAAAAGCTGGAGACTCCGGAGGTCCCCAATGATGGTTAGCCGAGAGTCGGTAGCTCGAGGACCAAAAGTACGGGCCAGACCCTCCGCTGTGCAGGTAGACCAAAAGGTCGATTTTAGGGCATTTGTGCTAAAATCATCGGGATTTCTTCGCGAAAATACTTTCGGAAACATCGCTTGCGATTTTTTCTATCTAACTTAATTTCTACTTGCAAATAGCAAGTATAATTGTTATTTTTTTAACTCGTATTCACTTTATTCATTTTATCAAGTGTAACAATAGATATAAATAAAGAACTAATTAACATACTCATTTCATAATTTCATCATGGATTGTTATACGCAATAGTTATATAAAGTTTTGGGAAAATAAGCTTTGAATATCGAGGAAAAGTAGGGAAAGTGTGGAGGATGACGAGTCCCGAATAAATAATGGTGATTTTGGTGACTGGCTATTGATTAGATTCAGGATAAGACAGCTTAGGTACATGAAAAATATTTACGTGTACAACAACAGGAATTTTCGCAACTACAATTGCTGATCCCTTTTGGTCTGTTACAATGTATAAATAGTAAATGATCGACAATTATTTTTAAATAATGTACTAATAAACAAGTAATAGGATTAAGCATGTATAGTGTTTGTCTCTTTTTATAATGTATAAAGAGTTTTATAATATACAAATAGCGTACAATAAGAAAAAAGTAAATTTAAAAAATGGAAAATCTTTTCCTTTTAAGATTCTAACATGTTCGTTTGTTAATGTAAGTATGTTGGTTTATTTATTATCCATGAGTTCCCAGTTGATGAAGTAATTCATTTCTGTATCGTAAGTCTTTGTGTATACTGCAAGCTCTGCCTTCGTATGCCGTTACGATTTACGATAGAAAGTGTTGCCATTGTTGCCGTCGTGATGGTCCCAACGTCCCAACGTACCGTACAGGACCCTTTTGCGCCGTAGGTCAGAAATTTGGTAGTTACTGTTGAACCGTCGAAGCAGGCAGACGTTCCAAGGAAGAAGTGCGCGTATTTGTGCGTGTTAATTGTATACACGTTGCTTGTATATAGTGTTGTTTCCTATGTTACAATTAAACGTGTTATATTATAGCAGAATTTTCTTTTTATCTGTGCTGTCACAGAAGGTTGGTTCCTTCATCTATCGTACATTTATCGTGCATAAATATGTATAATACGAAAGTAAGGA